CTCTTTATTCCTTCCCTTCTTCCTTCACTCCTTCTGCCCTTCCATCCTGCCTGCCTTCCTATAAACTCTACCAGCACTGTGCAGTAAAATAGCAACGAGTCATATGTGGTTATTGAGCATGTGAAATGTGGCTAACCCATATAGAGATGTATGGTAAGTGTAAAATACACACTTTGTTTAAAAAGTTTGGTATTTAAAAATGCAAAATATCTCACTGATAATTTTTTCACATTAATAACATGTTGAAACCATAATATTTTACATATAGTGAGTTGGACAAAATGTGTCATTAAAATTAAATTCACCCTTTTTTACTCATTTTAATAAATCTAGTTAAAAATTCTTAATTTTATATGTGGCTTAAATTATATCCTAGTGCATGTGAATTGCACTAAATGCACTCAGTTTCTTACTCTGGGAGGAAAATAGAGAAGCCTACCACTTCCTAAATCATATTTGTACAAAACATAATGATATGTACTTTAGTTTTAGTAGTCAATTATGAGGGTCAGCCCATGTGAACATACAAACATTCAGGAAAACAAAATCAAAAACAAAATCAAAAACACTAGTATATGAGCACTAATAGTTTTTGTGTATATTGTAATCATTATAAAATACAGCAACATCTAGTAACCTACCTCTGTTTTTATCTTTGGAGCGGAAAAGCCCTTCTTTTCTACCTTGGTAATTTGTTTCATATTATTGAAAATAAGTACTTTATTTACAAAACAAGGTTATATAAGTACTACATAAACAGATCCATTTTTGTGGATTTTGTAATTTACACTTAGTAATAGGATTAATAGATATTTAATCTATTAATATGTAAGAGTCTACATACATCTAGACATGTACTTATATCAGAGAAGCCTCTCTTATTATATACCCAATGGACCTGAAAACAATAAGAAGGAAATAGTATTTCTATTTTCTCCTTAAGAGTTGAATAAATCTAATTTCCTTCTCATTTGCTGCGATTCCGTGTGTTTGTGGTCTTTAGGTGAAATGTGTGGAGCTCAATGAAATGTCACTAGAATTTTTCAAAAGCCTCATTATGCATAAAAAAAGATTTTAGTAAGATGATTACTAGAATAATGTCTTTTATTTAATGTATTCTTTAATTTTCATAAAAGGGATAGTCAAAATTTTAAATTTAAGCTTAATTTAAAAAATTTTAAATGGCTTGTACTGTGTTTTTCTCAATAATACAACTTACAGTGTCTATTTACAATGTATATCACATTACAAAATATCCCACATAGCTTTTCAATGATCATTTTTATAATGATATATCTGAAATATAATAAAGGTGTTTCTTAAATAATTTTGAATATATAAGAAAGTTTGAGGAAAACACTCCTAAGTGTATCTCACCAGAATCCACTCATTATGTCTCACCTTAAATTACTTTGCAATGCATCATAATAGCATGCAATATAGTACATAGCCACATCTCCAGTGTATAAAAGATACATGTAAAAGGAAAAATATATGCATACTTTTCTGTCTAATGGAATCATTGCCTTTAACACTAGATCACAATAAATATATTGGGGTTTTTTTGTGTTGTTGTTTTTTTTTAACACATCCTCTCATCTTTCTCTCTTCAGAAGTTCAAAACTCCTAAAATTTCCATCTCTATGATTTGGCCATTGAAAATTTGATTAAAATATTACTTTCAGTTGCATAAACATTGAACAGAAAAGGAACACCTTATTCACTTTTCCCAGGCATTCATCCACTGAATAAATTTTTACTGAGCAGCTACTATGTGCCAGACACTGTGTTAGGCCCCCTGGATATGATGATAAGCAACATATTATTTCCCTTACATTCATAGAACTTAGAAATAGAAGGAGAATTAGACATTTCGCAAATAATCTCACAAATAAAAGCACAGCTATACACCATGAAAAATACAATGAAAGAGAAGCATAGGTTTTATAAGAAAGCTTAGGGAACTGTATGTTCTTTCTTTGTTTCCTTTTGAATTTGAAACATGGGAATGTATTACCTGTTCAAATTTCAGTAATTAAAAAATAAAAACTAGGAGAGCCTGGGTGGCTCAGTCTGTTGAGCATCCCACTCTTGGTTTCAGCTCAGGTCATGATCTCAGGGTTGTGAGATCAAGTCCTTCCTCAGGCTCTGTGCTCAGGAGGGAGCCTGCTTGATATTCTCTCTCTCCCTCTCCCTCTGCCCCTCCCTGAGTGCATGCTCTCTCTCTCTCTAAAATAAATAAATAAATCTTTTATAAACAAATAAATAAATAAATATGTACTAAATCCAGCAAAAAAAAAAAAGTTAAACTCTGAAGGAAACACAAGAAAATAAAAGTGGTTATTGGCGTTGAGGGTGATGGTGAACTGGGAGGCTGAAAGAGAATCAGAAAAATTTTTCATTATATCTCATTTATTTTTCTTTTGATTTTGAACTATGTTAATATATGTATTCAGAAGTTTAAATAAAATATATTAAAAATCTAAAATAAATAAATAAATATATATATATTTTAAAGAAAGCTTAGGGGGATTAATTTAAGTGAGAGAAGTCAAGGAAGGCCTTTCTGAGGTAGTGAATGGTTTTGGCTGGAAGAAGAGCTAGGCTGCACTGAGACCATTAGAGGAATATTTGAGTTAGAGGAAACTGTACATGCAAATACCTCAAGCAAAAGAACTGCTCGCCTCTGAGGTAGGAAAAGACAGCTGGGGAGCAGGAACCTCCTGAGCCAGGGGGATGATGGAAGATGAGGCTGGTGAGACTGGCAGACGTCAGGTCACACCTTGCCCCATGTGTTCTTTATTGAGACAGTGGGCGCCATCTAAGTGGAGTCTGATGATTACAGAATAGTAATGTTAATTTCATGGTTTTGATGGTTGTAGTTTGTGTCAAACTACAAGGAAGAATGTCCTTGTTTGTAGGAAACACACACTAAAGTATTCAGGGTTGGTGAGGCATCATATGAACAATTTACACTCAAATAGTTCAGAGAACAAAAAAGTTCTTTGTATGATATTTGCAACTTTTCAGTAAGCTTGACATTGTTTCCAATAAAGAAAAAAGAAACAAGATTGGATAGTGAAAATTCCTTTCTCCTAATCCTCTAATAGTTTTCCATTCCGTTTTTGTTTTTTTAAAACAAAACAAAATATCTGAATGGAATAATTTGGATGTATTCAAGGAAATACAGTTTGGGGGACAACTTATCTTTCTTATTAGATACAGATCCATACTATATGTTTCCCATATAACCAGGAGTACGGGATTGGGAAGCAATCATTTTCAGTTTAGCTGTGGAAAGGCTACAGCTAGACTGCACTGTGTGGACAGGTGGTTTGGAACAGAGAAAAGGTAAAACAGGTTCTGCCTGAGTGAGTTACTGGTACAGCACCTTTCTTTGGCCTGAAAACTTCAGTCTCGCCTTCCCCCAGCCCAAGCTCTAGAACAGTGCAGGCACTATCAGGCCTGCCTTGATATTTTTGGAACAAATAGGGGTCCACATACCAACTGTTGAAATACTTTGAAATTGTAAATCAAGCTAATAAACTGTTAAATGAAATATATTTTGTCCTTATCTTGATAGTACACCTTCATAGCCATCTAGAGGGTGAATTTAAAATTTATAAATAAAAATTCAAAATTCCAACTTCTTAGACTTCTTCCTGGAATATGCAGTTTAGGGGAGAGTGGCCCACTCCCCTTCTCTTCCCACATCGGGCTCCCACCCACCCACAAAGGCCTTCCCTCACACATGTATGGACATCTCCACAAAGAGCTGCTCCCTCTGCCACCACCCCTTGGGTCTAGGAATCAAGTGCAGGTATTCCTCCAGTGTCTCAGTGATTTTCTTGAACTTTCCATCATGTGATATTTTTATATTGTTCCAGAACTTCCACTAAACATACATCCACATCTAGTATTTGCTAAACAATAGGTTCACTAAACATCTAGAGTATTGTTGGCATAAGTTTTTCTTTTTACATGATATGAATAATAGCAGTTGTATCCATTACCTTGTTTTGTTGCTTTGGAGTAAGTCTTAGAGATCTACCCAACTTTATCTATGAATTTGCTTTAAGAAATCATAGCCATCACTGTGTATGTGAGACTGAATGTACAGACAATGGTCAGACCATATACAAAAATGGAACTCTGACACACAGTCTGCAGCAACCAGCTCAGGAAACCAACTCATTAGTTACAATATCCAGCCCAGAAAGCCAGCCTGCCATCTGTAAGTCAGACTTGAAGAATTCAGACCATTATCTCCAACAATCAGTCCAGGAAGACAAACAATAATCCCTGTAACACTGAAACCTAAATGCCCAGGACTTGACTAATAACTGTCAGCTTCCCTACCTTTTGTCCTCCTTCCATCTTAGGACCAACCAGAGAGAGCCAAATATGCACTCCTAACCTATCACATAGGATGCCCCACTTCTAATTAGCCTACGTACAGCTAGCTTCCCATGCCAACAGCCCCCAATCAGGGCACACCTGAAGTCTCCCTTAATTCAGTATAAAGCTTTCCAGCTCCCATGCCTGTCTTTGAGTCTCTACCAAACACACGTAATGGTGGCTGACTCCTTTGAAATAGCAAGCTTGGGGTAAATAACTTTTGCTTGTTCTCATTGGTTAGTCTTTGTTTATTTCCACATGTAGCAGGCAATGATAGTTTCCATGCTTCACTTCATTGATTGCAATGAAGGAACTGGCAAGTTTAATTGCCATATCTGTTTGGCCAATGTGTATTTATAATTTACTAAATTAAGTAAGTAATTTAATAAATAATTATTTATTATTTTATCATTAAAATTTCAGTTGGACTTGTTTCTTTTATAGAACTAGCTGTGGCTCTAGACTGATTACGGAAAATATTCACAAGGCTTTATTCATTTCCTGAGTTAGCAGCAAGAGCAAATGTTTCATTAGTCATTTATGCAGTAAGTGGTAGATTCTTTGAGTTTTGCATATAAGGATGAGTCATCACCAAAGGGTATTTTATATAGTGAAAAACAATGCTCATATCTATAAAGTCTTTTTACACAATTTAATTAACAAAAGGGTGTTAAATCTGAGAATATAATTGATTTTATTACTGCAAAAGCATTTGGTAAGAGGAAGAAAAAGGCGTGATACTTAGAGCAATAGAATTCCTAATCAACAGAGATTGAAAGTGGCGTAAGTTCCCAGATATCTTCAATCCTTACAGTAGGCTGTTTCTGAGGTCTGTGATGTGAGGTCTGTGACGGTACTTTAAAATTCAAACCATGAACCAGAAGTCATTTTGAAGACATATAAAGGAGCTGGTAAATTCTAATTCCAGTGTTTTCTGTTTTCTGCAGATAGCAGGAGAAACTGGAGCTCTCCGTCCCTCTCTCCTCCATTGAGTACACATCTTCCTCCCGCCTTCCGGATCTCTCCCAAATTCATTTCTCCAACCTCTTCCTTGTCCCATCATGCCAGTAATTCCTCAAGGTGTAGATGTGGGCTATCTAGAGAAGAATCATCAAACGTTTCCTATCAAAATGCAGATTCCTGGGCCCCACCCAGACCTTCTGAATCAGAATCTCAGGGAGCGGAACCAGAAGAATGTGTATTTTCACAAGCTCTCCAGACGATCCCCATATACACCTGAAGTTGAGAATTACTGTTTAAAGCATTTATCTAACTCAAAAATCTCACCAAATCTCTTGGATTCAGAGAAGGCCTAAATGCTAATGACAAGATAATCTGTATTTTTAACCTTAGCTTCTCATTTGAAATTCAACTGGTTTCTCTAACTTCTGATAAGAACAATTTATCAGATGACTTACTGTCAATCCACAGCTCAGTTAGAATAAAACCAACCTTGTATATTTGCCACAAGAGAAGATCCTCCCCTTTCCTCTATCAGTGGTCCATCAGCCTCCTAGTTATTGACAATTTAAAAATTTAAAAGCAAAAGTCATCTTTGACCTTTGTTTTCACATTGCAAATCCAATTGGTCACTAATCATGTAGCTTCTTCTCTCATTAAGCATCTAACTATAGCTAAATCTATCTTCAATGCTGTAATTGTTACCTGAGTACCTACTATGTGCTAGGAAATAGTGATATGAAGATAATCAGACCTGATTCTTGCTTTGAGACACTTAAAGTCTAACGATCATGAGAGTCCAATAACCAAATCATCCTCTGTGCTAAGTGCTATGGTGTAAACATGGCAAAGGAGCTGAGAGTACACAGATAAGAAACCAATGAATGATTCCTATGTGGTCTGTGAAAGGTACAGAGAGGAGGCAACATTTAAGCTGGTGTTTACTGAAGGATAAGTAGCTTCCCAGGCAGCGAGGAAAGGACATTCAAGAGCAAAAACAGGGGCCCCTGGGTGGCTCAGTCTGTTAAGTGTCTGCCTTCAGCTAGGGTCATGATCCCAGGGTCCTGGGATTGAGCCCCGAGTCAGGCTCCCTGCTCAGAGAGGAGTCTGCTTCTTCCTGTCCCTCTGCCGCTCCCCCTGCTTGTGCTCTCTCTTACTCTCTCACCCTCTTTCTCTCTCAAATAAATAAAGAAAATCTTAAAAAAAAAAAAAAAAAGAGCAAAAACTATAGGAGCAAGAACACCAGGATGTGAAAGTGAGTTGGACAGAATAGTTCTTTGCCTGATGTGGGCTGGGGAGTGATAGTGGTAAAGCCAGAAAGGTGGGTTATGCCCAAGTTATCGAATGTCTTGTGTGACATGCCAAATAGCTTGGACTTCTTCTGTAGGCATTGAGAGTCACCAAAGGGTTGTTTTCTTCTTAATTATTATATTTATAAAAATATATGTATAGGATTTTAAAATTCAAATATTACGAGGCTTAAAATAAAACCAGTACATTCTCTCTGTTCCACCCTTCCCTCCCCAGGCCCTGTTCCTTTCAGGCATCTACTTTCCATACTTAAAACTGTTACTTTTAGTATTTACCTCCCTATTTCAAAATAATATGGGGTGTTGAAGAAATTTCATTGTGAAATCAACAAATATCTGTGTCACTGAGTCTTTCCTCTTAGCTGATCTCTTCTGCAAAGAGGAATTTTCTGGTCTCCTGCCTGAGGGCACAAGGTCAAGTTGAGGAGGCTTCATTACAATCACCCTATGTTCTCATTACTTGACTTTTCCCTGGACAGTAGTCTTTGATGTCTAACACATCCAGGCAATTTTCTTTGATCTGAGGTTATGTCAATTACCTCCTATCAAATAAATCATTACATTAATTTTAGCTTTATACTTTGAAGATGCCAAGCTGCCTAAATTTTTTTGTAGCAGTTGAACCTAGTTTCTGTCAGACAGATGAAGAAACTGAACAGACTGAAGTGAGGGTAAAAGTTGGTAAATACTGAAGTCTTCTAAAGCAGAGCTCAGCAGTCTATAGTCCATTAACCAAATCCAGTCTCTCACCCATTTTTGTACTGCACACAAACTACAAATGGTTTATATTTTTTAAGTGGCTAAAAAAAAAAAAATCCAGAGGTGAATACTATTTTGTGATGCATGAAAATTATACGAAATTCTGATTTTAGAGTTTGTAAATAAAGTTTTATTGGAATCTTATCAGGATCAGTATTTATAATTTGTCTCCGACGCCTTTCGTGCAGGAGTAACCAGGCAATTGTGTAGTTGAGACAAAACCCACGTGGCTTGCAAAGCCTAAGATGTTTACTATCTGACTCTCTGCAGAAAAATTTTACTGACCCTTGTTCTAAAGCAATTAGCTGAGGCAATGCAAAGAGCATCAGGTAAGAGGATTAAGCCCTGGTAGTCTGGCCAAGGGAAACAGAGAGATCCCTATTAGAGAAAGTGGGAGCAAAGAAAGCAAACGTGTTTTCTGCCTGTAGGACTTCCTTCAGTTCTGGGTAATGGAGGCCATAGAGCATTAAGCCTCAGCAAATTTCAATTGTAAATACTTCTCCATGGAGTTTCCCATTTCGGCTTCCTATCTTACACTCCTAAATCATTATTGTCTGTTGAAGATAATGATAGTCTGCCAGGCATTATCTACACTTTTCTTTCTCCAGAAAAAGAAAATAAATTCCTACAAAAATGTATTTCCACATTCAAGGAATTTTAACAGGATAGACTGATGCAGCTTAAGGTATTAGATGAACACAGTCTGGGAATTTGGAATTCCCATAAACACGTGTTCTTTGGTTGAACCCATCAGTTCAAAAAGAGACCTTTAGATCGCTCTCAATTTCCTTATTTTGGGGACTCCACCTTCTCCAACACACACACTTGTACACACACCTCAAACATCCCATCCTGATATATTCAGAATCAGAGGATAAACCTCTTGCGGTGAAATAAAAAGTAGAGAGGAGATGTCAGGTGAGCATGTGCTGAGCCATAGACTGGAAAGAAAACAAAATCCAAAAATACTTCTAGCCAATGTAGTTTGTATCTCTAAATTTCACCCAGGGCTCTGGGGAAAGGGTGAACTGCAGGTTTCATTTAATTCAGTGAGACACCCATTCGCAGGGTTAACGTTTTCCCATTTGTATCTTAGTTGATACAATTGATTGCATTACGGCATTAACGGGCTTCTGTCTGGTACTCTCAATTGTAACCTGTTGCAGGAGTTCAGTGAACAAGTGGTTGAGATGCTGTTAACTGTGGTTTAATGTTAGAAAAGGAAAAAAAAAAAAAAAGGAAGCAGCCCTATAAATAATTGCTTAGAAGCTGTCTGAATAGAAATTCCAGAACCTTATGAAATCTAAACAGAATCACAGATTACACACTTTTTTAATCCCAGATGAAAGAAGTGAAGATATTCTCAAACCTTACTCAGCGACATCATCTATGTATTGTATGAAGGAACCCTTGGTGTATTTGACTTTAAAACATTTCTCTAATGTGACCAAGTAAGGGTAAATTTGGAAGAAAGGGAAAAGAAGCATGGCACATGGGCTGAAGAATTCGCCAGACAGAACGCAACAGAATGCCAAAGGCTCTGAGACAGACTCTGAGGAATGAGAGGAGGGGAAGAACAAACTGGCAAATTTTCACAAAGAATAATAATGAGTACTTTCAAATCTCATCATCTCTTCCCCTGCAGTGCCAGCAGACTGATGATGCAGAGATGCTAAGTGACTAGGGAGACACTTCTCCTAGCCACAAGCAGTGTGGAGAACAACATATATCTAGGATACTTGCTCCTTTGCTAGTAATTGTGGAACTCAAACGTGAGGCAATATTCCTTCGGTAATATCGGCAACCCCATGCAAACCACAAAATAGAGCAGCGAGCACATTGAGCATCCTCCATCTCCGTAATAATTTTGACTCTGCCTCATTGTTCCAAGTTTGTAAAATACAATAAGGAAGCTGAGGAGCTGGCATGGGCTAGGCACTCAGTACCTATCTTCCGGATGAACCAATAGCTAAATATCTGGAAGTTTGAGCTGCACAAATCCTGACGGTGCAGATAAAACAGAGCATAAAGGAGTTTGTATATATCATGGATAAAGGCAAACATTCCAAGGACTCAGTGAAAAGCAGACTTGGTTACAGAATTCTGTGCGGGAGAGTTCTTGGTGAACACATCTTCTATTCCAGAGAAGATCAAAATGTTAGCCAAATAAGCAAAAGAAAGTTTCCAAGGCAATATTGTAAATCCCTCTCTCTCTGAGAATGAAGTCATCGATCCTCCAGTGACTACATACCATGGTATAAAAATATTTCTTTTTGTCATTTTATCATGTAAATGGGATCCAGAATTTGGAAAATATGGTATTCTACATGAACGTTGGGGAACTTGCTCGAGGGCACACAGAAAATTAGGGAAGGGCCAGAATTATATGCCCCAAGGTTTCAATCTGCTCTTTAGTTCTTTAGCTCAGAATGATGCTCTGCATTCGTCATAACCTTGTAGATATACACCAGAAATAAATACCCGTCTCACCTAAAAAGCCACCCTTCTGAAATTCCCTTTTACAAGTTTCAGTAATTGCTTTGTTTCCATTACTGTTTGGAAACAATATTTTTTGTTCAAATGTCACAAAGTCATATGTGTACAGAAGCCCAGGCAGGTAAAATACACAAAGGAAGTGGAATGTATGAGGTGTGGCAAATGGTAAGTGACCCTCAGCCCTGGTTTCTGGGGGATGCAGATGTTGAAGACTGTGGGAAATTCGAGACAAAAACCCAATGTAGAGATTCCAATTTTCTGAGAAAGAGGAGAAATTCAGATTGGTATATAAGGCATTTAAATTTCATTGTGTTTATTTTGGTAACTAATTAAAATGTGAAACACTGGCCAGGTCAAAACCACAGACAAAACCAAGCATGTCTGTGGGCCTGCGTCTAGCCAGAGGGACAGCTCACTTCCTTGCTATGTTGCCAGATGGAGCTACTGGGGGTATGTCACTCTGTTTGGATTGGTTTCTAATGTATCAGCAATCAGGCACATTAAAGAAAGTCCAAGAACATTTTTAATAATGCCAACATAGATGGAACTGTACAGCCTCCCAGGATGGCTTATCAGTAGGACAATTAATTTAAGGTTGAGAGTTATGTTGTGCCTACTTAAGAACAGAGGCTCTGGAACCAAGTTGCCTGGGTTTGAATTTCAGCTCTTTGACTTACCAGCTCTGTAACCTTGGACAAGGGATGTGATTTCTTCACTGCTCAGTTTCAAGACTGTGAAATGAAGATAATGACAGTTACATGAATATACGCCTATTATATATATACACATACACATATATATACACACATACGTATATATACAAACACTTAAAATAATATCTAAATTAGTGCTATCTAATTATTTGCTTTTATTATTCAGAAATCATAGCATTGGTTAAGACAACAAACTTTCCCCATCTATCTCACATTAGACAGCTACTGATCCCATGAGAGGCGTCGGGAAGCTTTCTTCTTTGTACAGAACAGGTGGGGAAATCAGGCTCCTTGTGGTAAGCTCCCACTCCTTTGGCCTGATTACTGATGCCATCACCTCTCAGAAACGGCATAATTGCATATTTCAATGAGATGAATATACATAGCAAATTTTTGAAATACTGAAAATACTAGCAGTTAATGTATGTCAATCTATCTTTTCATTTTTTTTTTCTTTTTTGGAGATCATCCATTCTAAAGTCAGGGACATTCTGTTCCAGAGTTGGAAGGCAGAAAAATCAAAGGACTTTTATTTTCCTCTTTTAGGGGTTAGTGAAGCATGAAACTTATTGGCAGATGCTTGGTCTAGATATAAGTTGCCATGCTATTTCATTCAAGTATATTTTCACGTTAAATTATTCTGGAGGTTTTTGTATTTTTAAAAAAGGTACCCCATTTTTTTGAATGCCTAGAAATAGAGAAAACAGATGGTCACATGACATCTTATCTATTTTACTGAAATAACCATATGTTTATGAATAGTCAGCGATGACACAAAATTCATTTTCTATGGCACGAGCATATTTTCTCACCGATGAAAATCGAGATATACTCTGCCCTTTAAAGATTCCATAACTTTTCTTTTTCACTTCCAGTATTCTGACAAATAAAAGGCCCACCATACTTTCATTCCACCCAAATTCTTCCTTCCTAAGGCAGGAGAAAACAATAGTAAACTCTTAGGAATAATGCAGGTGGAATTTATTAAGATTGAAAGGAACATCAGCTTGTACTCTGATCTCATCAAGGGCTTTGTGCCCCTGTGAAACCCAACCCAGGAGCTAAGAAAAGCCAAAGTGCAGAAGCACGGAATCACAAAAGATGTGAAGGCATTGTAGAAAGAATGTCGTCTACACACTACCACCACCATCCATTTAACAACAAAGGGTCAAAGCTCAAAGAGAGAATATACAAAATATGCAACTGGGTACAATAGGGGCCAGAAGCCAAACCTAAAATTGTCAATGAATTAAAATATCTTTGTATTCTGAACTCCGTGTCTATTAGCTTCTAGAAGTATTAAAATTAGAGATGTATCACACAACATTAACTGTTTTTCCTCTCATAACTATTTCAAAATTATCAGTTTTTCTTAAATATGATGAAAGGATTACCTGCCTCAAAATCACCTGAGGTCTATGCAAATGACAGATTCCCAAGCTCACAGACCTACTGGGTGGGAAGGGGATTTAGAATTTGGGTACCAGCAGTTTTAATACACAACTCAGAGGATTGTTATAAACAATAGAGTTGGAAAACCACTAACATCTAGAATCTGGTATGTACATTAATACAAGTGGAATTGTTGGAGTAGGGAAAAACTTTCCTACTTCATTTATTTAAGAAGTGGATATCCTTTAAAATCTCAAATTTGCAAGACTAATTTGCTGTAAAGAATCCTTGGGTTAGGGGCACCTGGGTGGCTCAGTCATTAAGCGTCTGCCTTCGGCTCAGGTCACGATCCCAGAGTCCTGGGATGGAGCCCCGCATCGGGCTCCCTGCTCAGCAGAAGCCTGCTTCTCCCTCTCCCACTCCCCCTGCTTGTGCTCACTCTCTTGCTGTCTCTCTCTCTCTCTGTCAAATAAATAAATAAAATCTTAATTAAAAAAAAAGAATCCTTGGGTTATAAATTCCAAATGCACTTTCACGTGTGCACTCAGTGATTTTTCATAAAGTCACTTTCTCGCCTGGCTTTGTATCCTTGGGACTGACCCTAGAATGAGCTTTATTCAATGTCAGTGAAAGCGTTTGGCTTATATAAGGTGTGACAAGTTGTATTTTGCTGCCCAAGCACAGCTAGCATTTAGCCTTGATGTGTTCCTGAACAAAGACTGTATCTACAGGGCTAGGGTATTTCAAACCCAAAGAATGACATAGAAAATAATGTTTTTGTATCATACCATTTTCCTTTTAATTTATTCTTTAATCTAAAAAGAAAAATAACAATTAAAAATTAAACGTGAATATAGCTTAGAGTTTAAATTGTGTAACAGATTTAGAAACATGACAACTTTTAAAATGCATTAAACCAGGAAATGGCATTTCAAATATAGAAGATCCACAGATAAGCTTCTAGAATTCTATCTTAAGTTTGGTGCTCTTCCTTGTCCTGTAGCCACTCTTTCCCACCAGCATGGTTCAGTACAAACCTGGCACCCTATGTACTATGTGGGTGAATTGAGGCTTTTTCGAGATTCTATTTTAAGACAAAAAAAAAATCTGTTTTAATTTAAAACAGTAATGATGGTAAATCCCCAAGGATTCGTGCCCAATGTTTCATTACAAAGGCACTATTTCTCATTTTCTGATAATATTACATTGTTTTATTACTATTATGGTGCAATAACTCTACTTATCACATTTTTAGTATGCATAGTTCATTATTATTATTGCCACGTTAAATTGAGTTGTGTTCTCAATGGAAGCTACTTTTAGTCAACCAAATACCCTGTACTCTACTACTCCTGATACTTACATCTTATAGGAAATTATGAATGTCCTCCCAATAGTCAAAATTAATTTAGAAATAGTCTAGAAAAATGAAGAAAGTTAAAATTATCCTTCTGAACTATTGTCACCAGTCCATTTAAGATGATGAATATCTAGGAAGTAGTGTTCACTATCCACTAAGTTTTCATTACTTTTTCTATGCACTTCTTGTCCATTGTCATGTAAAACTAGATCGATATGGTCATACATTTCATTCTTCATCATATTAGGACACAGGTTAGGTTTCAATGATAGCTTTAGGCAAATATTTGTGGAAAGACTTTAAATAGACTATGTAGGGCTGGTTAAATGTTTCCTAAATTTGTACTAGATTGGTTCTACAATGATTCATCAAAACACTGGTTAAAAATCTTGTATCTAGGGGCGCCTGGGTGGCTCAGTCATTAAGCGTCTGCCTTCGGCTCAGGTCATGATCCCAGGGTCCTGGGATCGAGCCCCGCATCGGGCTCCCTGCTCGGCGGGAGGCCTGCTTCTCCCTCTCCCACTCCCCCTGCTTGTGTTCCCTCTCTCGCTGTGTCTCTCTCTGTCAAATAAATAAATAAAATCTTTAAAAAAAAATCTTGTATCTAAAATTTTGTAGAGAAAAAACAGGCAGAGAAATGCCATCTGATTGGCTGATATTTGACAGAAATTAATGACCAACAATAACCGACCCCCATGAGACAAATGCAAGGAAGCAGATCCTTTCATACCTCAACTGTCCTAGGAATGCAGAGATGACCTGCTGTGAAATGCTACACCTGGGACCACAGTTTTACACCTGGTCAGCTTCACACTTCTTATCAGTAATCTCTTTCTCCAAAGTCCATGCTGAGCTAAAGATCAGAGCTAACATTTACTTCTACATTTCACGTTCTTTGGGTCCTTATTTGGTGCCAGGAGTCGTGCTAACTTCTTTACAATTCTGTTTGCTTGTATAATTATTAAATCCCATTTTACAGTTGAGAAACTTAGGGCCTGTGCTTTTAATAACTTTAGCATATATTTGTAAGTATCTTTTTTTTTATTTTGGTAAATATTTTGATTTACTATTCTTTTACATTTAGTTGCAATTCTTTTTCTTTTGTTAAAAATATTTCCTAGGTGCATATGCATAGAAATATGCTACCATATTGTAGACAAATAATTTCATATGTCTCTCTTAGGTTCCAAATGTAGATATTTGTATCTTTCTGGGAATGGGAAGCATCCTTTCTTATGTAAACAAAACTAGTGGCTACTAGTGGTTACTTTGGACTGAGAAATATTTCCAGTCAATCCTAGTCAATATTCTACTGTAGAATATTAATAAGGCCTTGTTGTATATAAACCCTTAACATTTTCAAAGTGAACATTTGATTATTACAACTCCAAAGTAAGCAGGAAAGAGATTATGATCTTTGCCTTAGAGACGAGATAATTGAAGGGAGGAGAACTCCAGTCAACTGATTTACCCAAGACTATGTAGTTAAATAATGGCAGAGTTTCGTCTTAGAACTTTGGCCTTCTGATGACTCACTCAGTGTTTTTCTAGTAGAATGTCCCTCAAATAACACTTAACTTTCTGGTCATTCAAGTCTTTATAGCTCACGACTTTTATGAATATATTCATTTTTTCCAGAAATAAACAACTCTATGTGGGATACAAAACTGAACTGAAAGGAAAAAGATATGGAGATTCAAAACAAAGATGTAATAAGTTCCAAACCATGTCATAAACAATCACAAAAATATTCCCTGGACCTGTACTTCTGAAACAAATAATACATTATATGGTAAAAAAAAAAGAGAGAGAAGATAGTAGGAAGGGAAAAATGAAGGGGGGGAAATCAGAGGGGGAGACGAACCATGAGAGACTGTGGACTCTGAGAAACAAACTGAGGGTTCTAGAGGGGAGGGGGTGGAGGGATGGGTTGGCCTGGTGATGGGTATTAAGGGGGGCACGTATTGAATGGAGCACTGGGTGTTATATGCAAACAATGAATCATGGAACACTACATGAAAAACAAATGATGTAATGTATGGTGATTAACATAACATAATAAAATAAAATTTTAAAAAAATTCCCTGGAAAATTGGGCTTCATCCTCAAAAAATGTGTAAGACTGACCTTCAGAAGACAAATTCTTTAATTTATAATTTGTCTAATAACAACATTTGAAACACAGAATATCTTTGCAACTACTTGCTTTCATTATTCTATGCTAGCTGTGAAAAAAAAATTATTTGTGTATGACAACTAGTTTTTG